TTCCCCTTCTCCAGGTCCTTATGCCAGAAAGTGGTAACTGGCATAGACTTTGACTCATACAGGACGACCTCCCTACTCAATTGATCGTATGTGATGCCGGCCTGCTGAGACTTGTCAAAGAAATGCCCGCGTAGGGCCTCTGGGATGGCACGATAAAACAACTGGGACAATTGGGGCTCGGTGACCCCGTGGTCCGGGACGGCTACCAAGTCGTCCATAGTACCTTTGAGTGCCTTGGCACTCCTCCACTGTCGAGAGTGAATCGTTTGGAGCTTATCAAAGGCTCTAATGCCTCGCGTTGGGCAGCGAACCTCTCCTTGGGGAGCTTGAGGAATTGGGAGAGAGGAGTGACTTTGGAATACGCAACCAGGTTGTTTTCACAACTGGCTGTACGCGCAAGAGAACTGGCGAAGCTAGCCGCTTCATCTTTGAGGGCCTGGAAGGCCACAAGGACTTGTTCCTCGGCCAAGATATGCTGCAAGTAAATATAACTATTGACACTGGCTTCCCAGTTGTCAAAGTTTTCTTCCTTCTTTCCCCCGTACGCATCCAGAAACTTAAGCTTCACTGGGTCCTTACGGGGCCTGGCCTCTCCCTCTGCGGCGGCTACAGCTTTGGCACCCTAAATGGCGCCCTCACAAAACTTCCCGACATTGCCTCTCAACTGTTTGACTTCGCCCCCAATATGGGTGACGATCTCACGCGCAAAGTGTCTAAACCCTGACCGCATGGCACTCAAGTTTTACATCTTGGCGCTCTTCCATCCAGGCCTTGCTCAACACCTCTAGATAGCCCAGTACTTTGTCTCACTTGGCCTTATCATCTGGTTGGGCCAGCACCTCCGCTCTACCCTCCTGCACCTTTGCCACTGCGGCGGTCATCTTATTCACTTCCTCTCTCCTCCTCTTCTTCTCCCTCTTCGTTCTCAACTTCCATGCTAACTTTTGCTCGTCTTCCCTCTCTCTTCGTTCCATTGGGTCTGTCATGGCTGCTAGCTTAGCGGCCAGCGCAGCCTTCTCATCCTTAGTCACATAGGACTCCGCCTCCTCGTCCTCCCCCAACGATAAATTAGCAACCCACTCGCTGATCTTCTTCTCCAGCTCAGTATCTGTCTCCCACTTCATCGTGCCACCACTACTTCCTTCCCCACTCTCAATTCTCATCCTCTCTTTCTCTTCTTCTGCTGCCGCTTCTGCTTCAGCAGCCTTCYTTCTTTCTTCCTCCTCMTGTTGTACCCTCTTCATCTCCTCCTCCAATCTCTTCATCTTCGCCGCCTGCTCGTCTGCGATAGCCTTAAGCTTGGCTTGCTTTTCACGCTCTTTCCTCTCCTTATTCTCTCTGACTAAGGCGGCCATCTTTTCTTGCTGCTCAGTGGTGTAGGGGCTAGTCTCCTTCCCACTACGGGTCTCAACCATGGTGATAAGTGTACAACCGGGTTAGYGGTTCCAAACCTCACCACGTAGACGTCAACCCCTGACTGACAGACCTACTGACTCAATCTAAGACTCACAGAATCCTGACAGGGATCCTGTCAACTATGGTCTCTAGCCTAGACCTACGCTATGGCTGTCACTACTGAACCAGTGGCTGATCAGGAGGCATTTAAGGAGATCCCCCGTAACTCCTCAAGAATTCTTTAACGTCGCAGACAGGACGACGTGATCAGCTTGGYTCTGCCTGTGCTTTCAGCCCACAACTCAMCCTTTCCGGCCTACTGTGCCACACCGAGCAGCCCGCCGGTCTGTACCGGTCCTTGGGAGGGTTCGTATCCCCCGGGACAGTCGAGTCGTTAGACAAAGATCATCAGCCTTACTTGGTCTGGTAGGGGAGTGGTTCCAACGAGCGCTCGCCGCTCATGCCCAGGTCTCCAGATACCAGAGAAGAGATTAGTCCTACTAAGTCTCGTGCAGGTTTGGCAGCAAGGCCCTATCCTTCATCCACAGAGTTCTATGACCTAGGACAGAAGAGACTCAATGGAGAAAGAATAGACAGACAGACTGTACTCAGCAAGTACCAAGGGGTATGTGCACATCCATAGGGCAAGGGGCAGGCTAAGGGC